CAGGGAAGTTAGAAAGCTGAAATTTTTAGGGAATGTTTTCAGACAGCCCTGGTGGCCAGTCTCAATTGTCTTAGCTAGTAGCATTTGCCGGAAAAGCCGGTGCCGGTAGCGACAAAAACTGAGGGGAACTGTGCAAAAAACGCATCTTCGTACCGACAATTGGTGCGCTGGCCATTTATGTCTTAAATCGAGCAGCAAAAATTTAGCGTATTTCGTGGACAAAAAAAATTGTCCCAGCTGTTGCATGCCTTTTAGCTAGAAAGTCCGCTGAGGGAGTTGCATAGAGATTTTGAGTGATCCAGAGAGAGAATTTTGAGGGAGCATAACTTCACCAACCGCTTTTCCTATCTATTATCACAGTAGAGTTTATAATGTCACAATGCGCTTTAATTTGAGAGGTACTCGCGCTCTAGAATGCTGTAATTGGAGGTTCGATCAGTGAAAATTTAATAGCGAAATGATAACTTGTGGTCATACAATATAAAACTGTATTTTGAAAGTCTTAAAAAAATTTTAAAAATCTTTCTGCAACATTTTTAAAAATCTATGAAAATTTTGAAAATCTTCAAAAAGCGAAAAAATTATAAAGTAAATGATAACAGGATCCAACTTTTCAGCAAGGAATTTTCCTGTCAAAACTTTTACATGTCTATACATGAGAACGACGCTACCTATGGCTCAGTTTGAAATTTGAAAGTTGTACTTGGAAAAAATTCCCTTAAAATTTCAGCTTTCTGGCTTTTCAGGATCCCAAGTTAGCACTTTCCCCACTAAAACTTTTACGTTATCGCTCGCTGGATTCAGATGTGAGAGAAGACTGATACCGCGGTCCTAGAGCGGCTTCTGGCCGGGAAACTTACTGGTGAAATTTTAGCGTCGAAATCTGCTTGGTTACTGGGTTGAATTACCCGGAAAGACAGAAAGATACACATGCATGCACACACAAGCACATATACAAACGCAAACCATGGGTCGTTCACAATATGCGTTTTTATAAATTTTGTGCTGCAACAACTGCACAAAACGCGTATTGAAACCGTGTATGTTTGTGTGTGTGTGTGTGTGTGTGTGTGTGTGCGTGTGTGTGTATGTGTGTGTGTGTGTGTGTGCGTGTGTGTGTCCCGAGTGCATTTTACCGAGGGTTTCAATTTGGGAATCAGAAAAGCTATAACGTTGAGAGTTTAAGATCCTGCAAACTTAAATTCGTCACTCGCGCGTGCCTAGGCTTCACGTACGGCTGCGTTAAAGATTTGGCACCTAAATTAATAACTAGGAAGGCACAAAAGCTAGGGAGCTGAAATTTTAAGAGAATGTCTCTACCCGTGTTTGACCTTACAAACCCAAATTCATCCTCTCCCTTCTTTACCCTAATGTCTAGGCTTCACACAAAGGTACGTGAAAATTTTGGCGCCAAAATTAATAACTTGGAAATCAGGAAAAGCATAATGTTCCGGCCCGTATATAAATTCAGCCTTTGTGTACGCCTAAGTTTCAGATACGAGTACGCGAAAGTTTTGGCGCCAAAATTAATAATTCAGGGGCCGCAAAAGCCAAGAGGCTGAAATTTTAGGATAATGCCCCTTGCCCGCGTACAAACCCCATAATTTTAAAATTATTCTAAACGCGCTTTTCAGTCTTACGCGCGGGTGTGCAAATATTTGGCGCGAAAATTATTAGCTTGGAAGACAGAAAAGCCAGGAACTTGAAATTTCGGGATAATGTCCCTTGCCCCCGTATAAATTAGTCTCCGCGTGCCTAAGCTTTACATACTGAAACACGAAGCTTTTGGCGCCGGAATTAATAACTTGGATGCCGCAAAAATTGCTGTACACATTACACAGTAATGTAGTGGTCACTTTTTTAACAGCAGTGTTCCTCTGGACAAGCGTCAGCTGGACAGGGCTGCACGAAACGCATGATCGTGTCAATTAACCTGGTGTATACATGAAAAAACTCATAATCACAACTGATACAAAATATTTGATAGCGAAAACTATCGAAAATGCTGCCAGCTGTAGCGCTTCGTACGCATCCAAACACCCTTTTTCCGGGTTCCAATGTTATTTCTGTTCTTTTCCTGGGGAAGTGCTGCCGAAAAAGAAAAGGAAAAAGATGAATGCCAAATTGAACTGATATTGATAATTCGACGAATTCTGCTGACTGGTTGGAAGTACCGGGCAACAAATTTATGCAGCGATGCCCCACAGACATTTATGGGAAATGATCAGTGCCATTATTA